AGAATCACGAATTTTTAATGGGTGGACTGGCTAAATTTATTAGCTTAAAATCTAATAATCATTTTTTTCACTTACAATTTTTAGTCTTTTTAGAAATAAAAGTATACATTAAATCATATAGACCACGCTATAGTTCATAATTCTATTGACTAATTTTCAATAAGGTTTTTTTTTATGCAACGATATTGAGGAGGGGGAATCGAACCTAGAAAGTCGAGTACAGGGCTAAATGCTAATTTCTAATAAGCTTTATATTAAAACAAGTACATATGGAATGCAACCAATAAACACATATTATCAAAATGAAAATATGTTCAACAACATAATTGAAAGTGTACATATAAATTTTAATGTGTATTTTTATTGATGTTTTGTCCCTAAATTCATAAAGAATTATAATTTTTTGGACTTTAATAAGTTACTACATAATTGACTATATTTAAAACAAATTAAATATATAGGTTTGATTTCTTACTACAGCCTACTGTAGCCGTTAACCTAGTTGTGCACTTTCAACACGAATGATAAACATGTGCATGTATTGCCCATGGACTTGGAAACCTTTCTAACCTACTTTAGGCAGCCGCCTAACATCTAGTTCATAATAACGCCGTTCTGCCCATGCCTTGCACATAGTACGACACAACAACCCCCGGCACATTATTATTAACTCATGCAAAGCATTTTCTTTAATTATGTTTATTATACGTATTTATACATGTACCAAAATACGTATGATTAATAATATATATGTACATAAATACACGAATGAATACATGGCAATGTATATGAAAGTGATGACCATCTTGGATTGTGTGAGAAGGTTTACTAAATCCTTAAACCAATAAGTTCTTATAAATTATTTGCATAACATTGGTCGTCCATTTTATTTTCATACATCTCTCAGATTTTTTTTAATATTCATCTAGAATTAATCAGAGACTTATTTTTTTATTTTTTTATTTGGTAGATCAATAAACTGTTCATTTGTTAGATATCAAACTTTTAAAATCAAATAAATCGGAAACCAGTTAGTAATATATCTAATTATATATGACCACATATATACATATGAGTTTTTCTACGTCAAAGATTACCTTCTGAAAGAGAAAAAAACACACATCCTATCACTACTCAACAATATATTTCCACCATCGGAACGGTCTATATTTTATATAGTCAACCAATTAATTTTCGGTTTTACATGAATAATTGAACCCTATTAAGCGTGGCCCCAAAAATGTGATCCAGTTTGGTTCTTATCAAAATGGATCATCTTGAGAAGAGAACTTTGTATATTTCCTCTCAAGAGAGATCACTTTTGGGAAAAAAAGAAAAAGAAAGAAAGAGAGAGATCCCTTTTTGTAAGAACCAAACGGGACCACATGTGAATTTATAACATCAGAGCCTGTTATGAACAACGAACGAAGTGTCTTCATATATACTTGACAACAAAGTATCCCTAATAGCTATAATTTTATGGGTAAATATATTGGAACAGTTGTTCCTCATATGATAATACACATCCACGAGTCATTTTTTCTTTTGAGTGATAGGAGATTCTTAATGTGATTTCAACTGCTAGCTATAGTTTGTCACGTAATAAGTTAATATAATGCAAACCATTCGCTTGAGCACTCTATAATGTAATCATCATGATATGAACAGCTTATTTTAATGTACCGAATCAAGGATTATAGTTGCAAAAAATTCCCTTCAAGGGATTTAGCCAATTTATTATTATCGTGAATATTGTTTATCAAACATATTTCGTCTATTTATTGTTTAGCGAATTTTGCAAAGTTGATCTTTGAATGAGAACTTCAAAATAAAGAATTTGAATCATAAAAGTACATTGTAAAGTATGCGCCCAAACGAGGGATCAACGCTCTATCAACTTACTAATTAATTAGCACTTAATCACCGTTGTATATGACTTGCATTTAGTGTTTTTTATACCATAGTAAAATAGCCAACCCAAAAAAACCTAAACTATTGGGTGGAGAAGTTGAACATAGACTGGACCCCAAACCTAATCAATGTGGAAATAGTGCTCAATCAACAAGCAGAAGCTGGTAATTACATGGTGAGACTGAATAGATATATACACCAATCAACGTTAGACTTTTGCTAATTAGCTGGATCATCAAAGTCATTTCACATTGAGAACTAACTAATAATCGTATCGATGGACAAAAGATATAGATATATTAGGGCACCACACTATATATAATTATATATTATACGATGCATTTAAAACTAGATCCAATTTGGTATATTTTTATTTTGGAAAACCAAATAAAATAACAATTTTCTGACATCATCTTCCCCGCTGGAATATGAACCTTGTACGAAATCCCATAACAAGAGAAACCTTGGGATCAGATCTTGAATTTGTCAACTAGAAGACCTCCCGCTTCTCCCGATAGACTCGTATGTATGTTTATAATAATAAACTGAGTTATTTATTTATTTCGTTTTAATTATCCTATATCCACCTCCTCCCACGTTAACTATGAAGACTTAAATGGATGACACAATTCATGGTGTGTGCCATTTTATTTGCCTCTTTCTCTGCTATTCACAAAAGCGGATTAACTGACAGTCTTATATTATTAGAAAGAATTTGCAGCTTAAGTGGTTAATAACGTTAATTCATGCGCCCGAGGTTGAGGTTGAAATTTCATAGTTGGCTAACTGGTTTATTAAGGTGGTAATTCCTAGCATTTGTTCCACACTTTTCAGGTCTATGAACGACCAATTAGTTTGCTTCGTCTTGGAGGTAGGGATAACAATGGGGCTAATCAGAGATGGGTGGCCATTCACATCCCCATTTTCATTAAGTTTCTTCCTCATTCCCGTTTGATAACCTTAATATTCAAATCAGTGAGATTAGATTATATTAGAACAAGTTCCCTGCTCCACCCCAATATAAAAACAAGAATAAAAATAATACAAATTTATAAATAAACCCAATCCTAGACATGTATTTATAAAAAAACCCAAACACTATTTAAACATAGAAACACACCCAAAATCAACAATTGTATATTTTTTGGGTGTGTTTATAAATGAATTTTGAATATGTGTAATGATGAGTTTTGGGTGTTGGGTTTTTTTTATAATTTCAGCCCCCATTTTGGGTGTTTTAGTGAAACTCCCAAATTATTGTTTGAACGAAAAACCATAAGTGAGATTATATTATACTAGGTCAACAGACAATACAAAAGGAGAGGATTTGGGTTAGGGATTAGAATATCATCTCCGACACACCCGAATATTATGCACAAAAATTTCCTTAGACCAGTACCATACCCAATTTGTATCCTTCATAATGCATTAGGATTGAAACCCCGCAAAGACCCTAACCTGTGGAGAGAATTGTCATCTCTAGTTGGATGGTTGTTGTCGAAATTTCTTATTGCATGGCTCTGTTTTCATCTCTAAAGGTTTGTTTTATTTATTTGTTTTTAATACTCACCAACAGAGAAAATATTTTAAAAACCTCGAGTGCATGAGAAAACACGTGTTTTTCTATAAATTAAATTTAAAACCAACAAAAATCATTATTAGTGCACAAATATGCTTCCTGTATAGCTCGACTTGAACCTTGCCCAGAATTCGACTAACAAATTTAATGCAAAACTGAAGTACAGGTTGGAAAGTTTTCCCAAACTTGTTTCCTAAGCGCCTTGTACATTGGAACTATATAAACTGTCACGTTCCTTAATATTAATATTATTTCGACCTCATAACATTTACTTGCATTTTAAAAGTCAAGTGTGTATAAGAAAAGACTTGGATTTTTGGACCTGCAGCTGTCCAAAGGAGATGATCATGAGAGACCACTGTCAGTGGAGACTGAAGACTCGTGCAATGGCAACAAAAGCTCTGGAAAATTCTAGCCCTCATGATAATTTATTTTATTTTATTTTGGTTTTTGGTAAACTCTAAAAAATTATATTTTATTTGTGTGGAATTTATGAATTGCTACGTTTGTTCCAGTGCACATTTCATAACCATTAAAATTGCTGGGTTTTGAAGAATAATATTATATATTTTTGTTGAGTTGTTTTGTACCCCTTCGAAGAGTCAATAGCTTTGTTTGGACATGGGGATTAGTAATCTAGTCATGATTTAAAAGGTCTGGCTTTTGATGCGGAAATCATTCTCCCCTTTGGCCACGTGAAATTAATTAATTTCATCACAATTGAGAATTGAGATGAGATTATATATTTTTGGGCTGAATTAATCCATTAATTTAAGAAAGTTGGAGTTTGCTTGCAACCTTATTTAAGAAATATCCTTTTTAATTTAAGTTTTTCTGTGCAAAAACGAAAGAAATAAATTACTTATTTTCGTTGGGTGTCTTAATTAATTTTCTCCAAACCTCAAGAGCCCTAAGGCCTAAGTCTTTGATTGATATAATTATTATTAATCAGTGCAAAATCCAAAGCTGAGCCTATAGCTAGGCACATTAGCCCAACTCTCCAAACCATCAAAGTGCTTTGTCATAAAGGCCTTTATACGAGTGTGAATTTTCGATGTGGGATGTTCACAAAAAGCACCTCACAAGATAAGCCTACAGAGAAATTCATATTTTCATTGTTGGTAGAGTATAGTCGCGCGGTTGTACTCTAAGAAATAGAATATTTTAAAAATATAGCCGCACGGTTGTACTCTAAGAAATAGAATATTTTAAAAATATAGCCGCACGTCTATATCCTTTAAGTGGCATAATATGTATTTCTCTTTTTTAATTACTTTGATTAGTAGTTATGTTTTGGCTAAATTGTAGCAATGATCTTTGGACTAAACCCCAACTTTACTTTTTGTCCCTCACATTGCTAAATTGTTACCGTAGTACTTTAATTATGCCTCCACTTTCAAAAATTGTCCTTACCATCATCTCAGTTAACTTTTCCGTTAAAATAAGAGCATATTTGTCTTTTCATTAATTTTAAATTGATTAAAATATTTATATAAAAAATAATTTTAAATTAAAAAAAAACTCTCTCACTCCCCCACCAATTTCTTCTCCTCTCATTCCCATGACACCACCCACCCCCATGAACCCAGAACCCAGCACCTCCCACCCTAGCCCGCAACTACAGAAAAGAGAAAACAAAAAAAATTATCCACAGAACTTAGAACCCCAACAACCACAGAATCCCAACAACTACAGGAAGTAGAACAAATTTGGGTGTGGGGGAAAGAACAAATCTGGGTCTGATGTCAAAACCCTATCTTCAACCACCACTAAAATCGCACCCAAATTGGCAGCACAAATTTCCTCATGAACTTCCCAATCCTCCTCTCCATCCTCACGTATTTCACCCCACTCTCCTTGATCTCTTTATCCCTCCTTCGCTCCCTAAACATTGTCATTCTCCTCCATCTGCGCTTTAATTTCTCCCGTCTTGATCCCCGCTGAGTACCAAAATCTTAGTATAAGATTTGTAAGATGGTGTTGTGAAGCATGGATTTTTAATTATGCGGGTATTGCGATAAGCTAGAAAGCGTGCATGCTATGCTTTCTGCAGAAAAGGCTCGGAATGATTTGGAGGCTCGGACAAAAACCCAGAGGCTTTCAATGTTTGTTTTCATGGGAGAGAATGGAGAGAGAGTGGGTTTTGGTTTGGAAATTAGAGTGAGAGAAATTGATCCCAGATTGATGGCAAGTTGGAAATTCGAGTGAGAGAAATTAATTCTAGATTGATGGCATAATGAGGGAGACTTGGAAAAACACAAAGGAGAGAGAAATTTTGTAAAAGAAGTCAAAATGGACAAAATTGCCCTTATTTATTTTTGGATTTTCTAAGGAATCCTTTACATTTGCATGTCTTTGATTTGAAAGTTGAAAGGTTTTTCTGTCTTTTTTGAAAAAGCTTTGGCTTTTTCCAAAAGTGAAATTTTTTTTTTGCTAAAACCTAAATTTACTTATAAGGTTTTTTTTGGGGGGAGGGTGTGGGAAGCTTTTTTCAAAAGTGAAATTTTTTTTTGTTGCTAAAACCTAAATTTACTTATAAGGTTTTTTTTGGGGGGGGGGGTGTGGGAAGCTTTTTCCAAAAGTGAAATTTTTTTTTTGCTAAAACCTAAATTTACTTATAAGGTTTTTTTTTGGGGGGGGGGTGTGGGAAGCTTTTTCCAAAAGTGAAATTTTTTTTTTGCTAAAACCTAAATTTACTTATAAGGTTTTTTTGTGTGGAAGCTTTTTCCAAAAGTGAAATTTTTTTTTTGCTAAAACCTAAATTTACTTATAAGGTTTTTTTTTTGGGGGGGGGGGGTGTGTGGGAAGCTTTTTCCAAAAGTGAAATTTTTTTTTGCTAAAACCTAAATTTACTTATAAGGTTTTTTTTGGGGGGGGGGGGGTTGGTGTGGTTTAGGGGAGGAGGGAATTGGGGCTGTGAAGAAATCTGGGTGGATGGGGGAAAGAAGGAATTGGGATGGAGGTCGGAAGAGAAAGAGAGATGAGATTTATTTTTTTAATTTTTTGTGTGAAAAGGCATTTTTGCCCATGCCATGTCATCATTTTTAACAGAAAAATTGACGAAAATGACGGTTTCTGAAACTTGAGGCATAATTAAAGTACCATGGTAACAATTTAACAATGTGAGGGAAGAAAAGTAAAGTTGGGGCTTAGTCCAAGAACTATTGCTACAATTTTGCTTTATGTTTTAGTTATTACTAGCAAAAGGTGCTCGTGCGATGCTACGGGTTTTAAAACCAAAGGCAGTTTGTATTAAATATGTCTGAAAATCAACCCAAAAAAGTAAAAAGAGCAAAGGGCAATATGGTCATTTTACTGTGCTGCCGAATAGGACAAAAAAGAACAAAGAACATAAGTAGGGGCAAAATCGTCATTTCACTATTGCGAATGGATAGTTTATAAACAGTGAATTTTGGGACCAAAATCAACCCAAAAAAGTAAAAAGAGCAAAGGGCAATATGGTCATTTTACTATACTGCCGAATAGGACAAAAAATAACAAAGAACATAAGTAGGGGCAAAACCGTCATTTCACTATTGCGAATGAATAGTCTATGAACAATGAATTTTGGGATTTAGTTTTAGTATATACTATCCTCTCTGCATGCGCTTCCACGCCTGCGAGAGGCCTTTTTCAAAAGAATTTAATTTTTTTTAGAATTAAAAAGATAATCGGTAGTTGTGTTCCGTAAAATTAGGATCCATTATCTGATTTTTCTTTTAATTTTAATTTTTTAAAGTGTGAATTTACCATATTATCCTCATTTAATTAATAATTTCAATTCTTAATATTTGCATTAACCAAGGGCATTTTCTGGTATTTTGAATTGTTTCACCATTCTCTACATTTTGCTTTATATATATATATATATAATTTACTTAGTGAATATTAAAGGAAAAAAAATTAAAAAAAATTGAATTACTAATTATTACATAATATAATTTATGAAGTTAATTAAAATGTTTAATACTAATTATTTGCTAAAGAAATAATAATTAAAATATAATTACTAATTGAACTAATTAAATAAGACAAATATATTATTTAATTACTAAAATTAAAATTTTGAAAAATTAATTCACCTAAATACCCTAAGTTTTTATATATATATATATATATTTAAATACCTCTCCTACAAAATTTGCTATATTAGACTTCTCCCTATGAAGTTTCGTCGGCAGAGGTAGCTTTTGTCGAGAGAACTCTAATTCGGCAAATATTTGCCGGCATGGACTTGTGCCGACGAAATTTCGTCGGGAGGTGTTTGTGTTTTATTTTATTTTATATTTTATATTTAAAAAAATTTAAATATATAAAATTAATTTCTTTACTTTTGTTAATTTGGCCAACTTCTTTAATTTAATACATGTAATTAACTTTTTATTAAAATAAAACATAATTAAAACAATAGAATAACACATAAAGATAATAAAAAATACACTAACTTTATTTTCAGATATAGGCTTGCGTATTGGCAATTTTCAAACCACAACATAAACCGAATTTCATTCAAATTTCAATTGAAAGGATATGTCTTATCCTTTTTAATTTAAATTATGCTATGCAAAAACCAAAAAAATAAATTACTTATTTTTGTGTGAGTGCCTTAATTAATTTTCTCCAATGGCTAATTGTGGGGCTGGAATTTTCACCCGACAAATCAAAAAACCGGCCAACTCGATCTAATTTTTTGGCCCAAAAAACAGTACATTTCATTCTCGGTCGATTATGGGGTGGTTTTTTGGCTCGACCTGACATCCTTGGAGTTGGATTGAGGAGAATAAGATTTCGGATTCCTATTGAAGTTGTTAACTAAATCATATGGAATTAAAGTAGGAGTTGTACTAATTACTAAAATGTACTCATTATTGGGTTAAAGTAGATGGCAAATTTGAAATTTTAAAAATTATGTGAGGATATAATAGGTAAAAAAGATGAACTCATATGAGGTTAGTTCTCCAGGAATTAGAAAACCACCTCCCACCCAAGAATTGAAATTCCTTGATGTGAAGTAAACGCATGAATCCTCCATAGGTGGAATTCAATTCCTAATGAGAATTTCAATTCATGATTAGTAAACACATCATAGAAGTTGAAGGCATAAGGTTTGAAACCCCTGACCTCTCAAATACTCAACCTCTTATCGCTACACCAACATGGTTCGTTGTTTGAAAATCATATCATTAATATATTTAATCATTACCAATCGAATAGTATTAAAAAAGTACTACATAGTTAGAGTTTCCTAACATCACTCTAACACCACCACTTTAAATTTTAAACCCCAACCATCGTCTTATTCCAGGTAGCTTGCTTGGAATCTCAGTCAAGCATATTCGCAATCCCTGGGCATAGAGGTAGTTGACTACTCAATCAAAGAAAGATCGTCAAATGGGGCTTATATACGCAACCCACCTTCTCTCTCCCTCATTGTCTTCTCTCACCTCCAGATCTAGTGCACCATCACCATCTCAGCTGCTTAATCTCTCTCTCCATCTCTACTCAGTCTTTTTGTTACCGAACCGTGCCGATCGAAACCATCGATTTGGCCGACAGTCAGCAAACTATTGGAGGCGGCGTCGGTAGCGATTTCATTTTTTACTATACCGACAATGTCGGTCGATACATCGGAAGCTTAGAATCGGGTCGATAACGAACCGATTTCACCCCTAGCTAATTGTGTCAAGCTCATGCTTTTAAATATCATATGCTTCCCAATTGTCTTTCACATTGGCACCCCAGTCACAATTTTGTCACTGTTTGAACTTCTTTAGTACAAGTGATAGTCTAAACTGCATGGGAGAGGGGTTTCTCACACACACGCACACAACTATGATGTCATGGGGGTTCGAACTTGAGCCTTATGGCTTGAAAGTCAATGCGTTTTAACACTGGGCTAGACCCGTTGGTGAACCATCTACATTTAAACACTATATTATTGTTGTATTTTTTTTTTATGTGAGTGTTTGAGATAGTTTAAAACCCAATGAGTATATGCATTGAATTGGGCCAGATTAGTGGCCATTACAGCGATATGGGCATTTTAACTCAGCTTTAAATAGTAAACAGGCAAACCAAGAGCAGATTTGTGAGAACAAGCAAGAATTCAGCTTTAGATAGATGAAATAGACCATAATTTAATAGTTTAGGTAAAGCATGAGAATTTTTTTTTGCATCAATATGACAAGATAGATGCGAGTGAACAACATGTAAAGATTCGCCTGGAGGAACATATTGATTGTCTAAGGTAACATGTTAGGATCTCCTATAATGGGTGCTTTACCATTTTTTTCAATTAAAAATTAAAAATTATAGGACCTTTCCTATTGAGATAGGCAATAGTATATTAAACTCACACACACTAGACGAACGCTAGGACTCGAACTCAAGACATTTCATGAGGGAATAAATACTCCAAACCACTACACTAATGAGTCCTTTGTTGCTTTACCCTTATCTAACATATTGTTGGGATTAAAAGAAGATGATGTCATGAAATAAAACAACACAAATTTGGCCCGAATCTAAAACCAATATGCAGACCCAAGTAACTGAATTTGGATTTAGGGACTGAATTCCAAATCCACACCCCAAACCATCCCTTATCCAAACATGCCCAAAATTAATCAATTCAATAGCAGATGCATCTGTACATTTGTAGGTTCATTCGTTTTTAGAAAAGAGATGTAATTGGTCAAATCGGAGGTGTGTATACCATTCTCATCCCCATTCCCGTTTAGCTTTTTCCCCCATTCCCATTATGATAAAATACCAAATCTCCTACATTTGAAATGGAATGTTCATTCCCCCCATCCCGTAATATTTGCTTGTATCAAAAAAGAAAAATGAAAAACATATCCCCACATTTAATTCTCATTCAAAATGTAATATCCAAGAATTCATTAGGTTGCCCTATTACTACTCTATATATAGCGTAGGCTATCCTCTTAAGAAAACTCGCAAATGCATCATTTTCTTACCAGTTTGTATTGTTCATTTTATTTTCCCTGAGAGCCATGTCTAGAAAGAAGGTGAAACTAACCTACATCAGTAATTACTCGACCAGAGAAACAACATTCAAGAAAATGAACTAGGATCTGATGAAGAAAGTGTGTGAACTCAACAACCTCTATGATGTTCCAGTGTGTGCCCTAATTTATACCCTATCTGATACTCAACATGAGATTTGGCCATCCTCTCTCCAAGTGCAAGGTGTTCTTAAAAAAATTTAAGACCATGCCGAAGATGGAACAGAGCAAAAAGATGGTGAACATGGAGGAGAACAACTAAAGAAACAAAGGAATGAGAAAAGGGAGAATGAGATGACAATGGTGCTATTCTAGAGTTTGACTGGTAAGTCCCTTCACAATTGGAACATGGTTTCTTTGAATGATTTCGGTTGGCTGATTGACCAAAGCTTGAATGGAGAGGTAGGCTTTCAAAACTAACAGTATAGAGACGATTCAGAGGCATCCATGGTTCATGGGCATGAAGAACCCACAAGATCAGCATATGGGGGTGGGGATTGGTGGTGTAGATGAGATGATTATGCCATTTTGGGTCAAAATCACATTAATTCTATTTGATCTAATAATGCCTTTTTCCCTTGAATTATTTAGTATTTGTTTCTAGGCAGTCTCTCTGTACTGGCCAAAAGTATAAAGTGATTTTTTTGATAATTTTGAATTCATAATTAAGGCCGAAAGGTCATGAGTCACAAGGACCAATATAAATGCAAATAATTATATAAGGTTAATATAAATATGGAAGCGCAATAACCACAAGAGATTAATCCAAATATAGAGGAGTTCACCAGCAACAACAAGCCCACAAGATATACGCCAAATAGTGAAACATTGAAAAACCTAAAAAATAAATTTAATTTATTAAAATTTTAAAAGGTCCCAGTGGGAAATTACATTGGCATGTAGACCAATAGTCTAGGTTTGAACCCCCTTGGTATCTACCTTCTAAACTTTGGCACCACTATTTAATATTATGAGGGTAAAAGGGTATGAAACTTAGTATTAAATAAATGAAAACATTAAACAAAACCCACATTCTAAAGTTGGGTAGTTACCCTATGAAGGAAGTTGCCCCACACGTGTGAAGAACTTTCAAGCATAAGACATGAGAGTACGTGTGGTTGTTGGGTCCAACACGTGAATATATGCTCTAATACTATGAAGGAAGTTGAGGTTCCATCCCAAAATTAATTACAAATAGGGAAAACAGCTCAATTCCATATAATCTCATGCTAGGTCTTTTAACAGTTCAATGTTGGACAATACTCTCAACATCCTCACCCCTTCACCCATTTTCCCTTTTTTTAAATATACTTTTTCATTTCTGTTAATAAATCTAAAACAGAAAACACATGCATATGACAAATTATCCTCCACTTCATTAGGGAATGTCCTAAGTACGTATTACTACTTATAATTTTGTTTCACGTTCCAATTCATTGTCTGAAAACCCACTTTCATTTAAGGTAATGGTCTGTCTGACCCATAAGTTGAAGGTAACAGTTGCCGTGTGTTGTGTACGAAAGGCTCTTCCTCTATTCTCTTCGATCTTCTTCGCCCTAATTTCTTCCCATGCCAACGAAAGAACCCACCCCACCCAACTATTATCTTCAACTGATTGGTTTAATTTGCATCCCTACCCTTATCTTGCTGCAAAGCTCTCATTGTTGTCACCGCATACTCAACTCTCGTGCAAAATTATCAATGGTTTCACATACCCAAATCACTTGACCATTTTTTCTTCTCGCTTTCTCCTGTGACTACCAGGGACGGACCCAGGATTATGAACTCGTAGGGTCATAGTGTAAAAGTTCAATTTTTTTTTTTAAAGATTAAATAACATTGAAAATGAAAAAAATAGTACATTCATTCATAATTCATGTTAAAAACAACATTACAAATTACAATTAGCCACGACGAGGTTTCATATTTTGAAAACGTAGCATTATAGCTTCATTTTCAATACAATAAAAAACATCCTTCTCAATTGGCCACGGCGGTGCTGCTGGCAGCGGCAGCAATGGAGGAGTTAGGACTTAAAGCTTGGTGGGTTAGAGGGTTAAAGGTTCGTGGGTGGGTGGAGATTGGGGATTTAGGTTTAGGAAATGGGGGTTTTGGAGTTTTGAGAAGGGTCTGTTCTGTTTGGTCGAAGAGTTGTTGTTTGTTTCTGTTTCATTTTTTTCTTTTTTTTTTTTTTTTTTTTTTTTTTTATTCAGACCTGGACCAAAACGACGTCGTTTTGGCCAGGTCTTTTAAAAAAAAATTTGTTTCTGCTGGTCCAAAACGACGCCGTTTTGGTGCCAGCGCATTAAAAAAAAATTCGCTGGGTTCAAAACGACGCCGTTTTGGATCCAGCGAGTTTTAAAAAAAATTCGCTGGGCTGGTCCAAAACGACGCCGTTTTGGCCAGCCCGGTTTTAAAAAAAAATTAGAAGCTAACCCAAAACGACGCCGTTTTGGTCAGCTTCGTTTATAAAAAAAAAACTGAACCCCTGTTCAGCTTCTTCTTCCTCAGATTTCCAGCTCCTCATTCAGCCATTCATGGGGTCACACACAAGTTCAAAGGGACTTTCTACCTTACGTTCATGAAGGCCATAGGGTCGTTTGACCCCATTGACCCCACTGTGGGTCCGTCCCTGGTGACTACCGACAATAATGCATGTTGTGCTCAAAGTGGTACTATATGCTAAAAGTAGTACTCCACCAAATTTTGAATTGTTTTTACTGCCTCTCCCTCCCCCTCACCTTTACAAGTTTTTGTGGTTGCTATGCTAAAAGTGGTACATTACCAGATTTTGAATTGTTTTACTGCATCTCACCAGTTTCTGCTATAGAACATTAGTGAAACTTTGTGCTCAACGTGACAGAACACGAATTTGAATTGTTTTGCTATATTCATCAATACCGTCATGCGGTCATCAATTCACAGCCCTTAGAGCAACTCTACCCATTTGCCCTTAGCCATGGCAAGGGGGGGAGCTAGGGCAGCCACTATTCACGTGAATAGTGGTTGCCCTTGCAAAATCCGAATTTTGTGTTCCACCCGTTGTCCTTGCTAAGGGCAGTTACTATTCATTTTTTTGTTTTATTCACAACTTTTTTTACCTCAATAATTAATTTGGATAATATTTTCGGATAAGATTTTCGGGTTCCTACGTGTCAATACTATTCATATCTCATAATCGGATAAAATATTCAATTTCAAATTTCAGATAAATTAAAAAAAAAAGGCTGGTATTTATAGAAAAAAAATTCATTAATTTTTGGGTATTTTTTAAAAAATTTTCCGAATTTTTTCCAGTATTTTATTGCAAAAAAATTGGCTGCCGTTGGATTGGAGGAAAAAATCAGATCGGAGAGCCCAGACGACGCCACGTGGCAACAGGAAAAAAAATCAAATCAGCGAGGTATTGTAGCGATACTGTAGCGGGGGCACTGTAGCAGTACTGTAGCAGATACTGTAGCGCTACAGTAACCCCCCTCGTTTTGGACCTCAGGCAGAACTTGCCTTCGGGCCAGCCAGAGGAGGTGGGTCCCACACCCCCCCCGGGCCTGGGCTGCTCCGCTGGAAAGCTTTTTTTTTTTTTTCCCCCTAGCCTCGGGCTGGGCTGCAGCGTTGGAAAGGCTCTTATAACAATTCAATAGTCATCAATTCAGTCTTTCATAGGATAGGCCTCCAAGGTGTGGCCAAGTGTCAACGTTTCAGCTCGTTGTCCGTTTCAACTTGTTCCAACTCTCTTTCTTTGTCTGTATGCTGGATAGAAGTAGAACCGCGTGCAGCGCCGATGCTATGAGTCTGTATATCAATGTCCACCACATGACACAAGCTAGAAGACAAAGCAACTGTCAAAAGCCACCCGCCTGACTCACCACCAAGCTCCTCTCATTTGAAACTTCAAGCTCGAAACTAAGTAGCCAAACAGAGCAGCACCATGGACGCCAAGCAATCGAAACGCCCGAAACCGAAGCTCGATCGCCGAAACGCCATGAGGAACATAGACTACGACGCCTCAACCTCCTCCTCTTCTTCTCCTTCTTCTTCTTCCTTCGGCCATGGCTCCCCCTCTATCAGAACTCGCTCTCTGGACCACTCACCTCTCTCTGACCACCAACCCAGCTTCCGCGTCAGAGGCATTGAGGGCGAATTCGACCTCATCTGCCGCAGCCTTGGGCTTTCCGGCCCCGAAGACTTCTCCATCCCAATCGCAGCCTGGGAGGCCCAGCGAGCTCGCTCTTCTTCCTCCCACTTCCCACCTCGCTCTCGCCTCCGCCATGAAAGCCATCTTGAATTGCCAGACAGAGCGGAAAGCGGCGCCGTTTTGGAGAAATCCGAAGTTAGGGTTAGGCTAGACAATGAAATTAGAGCTTCGAATTCGGCGAAGTTTGGGGGAAATGCCAGAAAGGGTGGTGGTAGTGGAGGAATTAAAGGTCTGCGCCCGCCTCCGGTTGTATTGAAATTTTTTTCTCCTCAAGACCATATTGGTGTAGCAGATTCGCCCATTCGTGTTGGTGATGTGAGGTATTCGGATGAAGAAGAGGACCTTGTAAATGAAGCAAATGGTGAGAGGGAAGTGATAGATGAAGCGAGTTTTGGAAAGGGCAATGATTTGTCTGATGATTCTTTGTCATCTGGCTTATCTCCATCCAATAATGAAAATGAAAATGAAAGTGTTGGTTTTGATGCTACTTCTAGAGCAAAGCTGGAGCCAATCCATAGTATTTTTTCGCCAAATGGGAAATTCAGACGCAGTGTTTCGTCATCGTGGCAAAAGGGTCACCGTTTGGGAAGTGGTTCGTATGGAACTGTGTACGAAGGCTTTACTGAGTAAGCGATAGTTTCCTGCATCCCTTTACACAAAATATTTTTACTCCAAGTAAAACTTGTGCAAGTGTTGCTCAGTTTTTTTTTGTTTAAATTCTAATTCTTATGCCTGTGTTATTAGTGATTAGCATTATGTTAAATTTGTCTGAATATACCTCATTCTGAACAAGACTTTGAATGTTGAAAAGAAAAACGGGAAAGAAAAGAAATAACTATACTTTGGTAGGGGACTAGGAATCTGTTGAAGAGTTTAATGAATAGAAACGTGGGGCATTATCACTATAACCTTTCTTTTTCTTTTTTTTTCTCTTTTTGGTGCTAGGGAGATAATGACTACCACTTTCCTGAAAAATGGGACAACCATTCATGGCTATATGATTTCATTTCTAATTCTATAGTTTCTCACATTACTGCTCATCCGTTCATGCATTTGTTGTTTCTTAATCATTCATGCATATCCCTGAAAATATTGTTCCATAAAATTAACATGTTGGTCTTATATAACTTTTTAAGTTCTCGCTCTCTCTGTTTCTCTCATGCTTCATTTATATATTATCTTGCAGTGATGGATTCTTTTTTGCTGTAAAGGAGGTTTCTTTACTGGATCAAGGAAGCCATGGCAAGCAGAGCCTTATCCAACTTGAGCAGGTGTAAAGAAAGAGTCTTATTCTGATTTGTCCTAGTTTAATTACTAAATACTATCTTTTATTCTTTACTTTATTTTATTTATTCTATCTTGGCAAGCTTGGACTCGATATCTGCTGGGACCTCATCTTGGGATGGGCATGGGGCGTTTCACAGTTGGGTTACATTTCTGCAACTCCCCTCTCCCTGCTTCAGAGCAAGCCCCCACTCTCTCGTGCAATCTCACCCCATGTATTTACCCCCTGCTACGCCATACCCTTCCCTGCTCTTTCCTCTTGAGTCTTGGACCATATGTCTTGATCTTAAAATCTATTGAATATTAACCCAAATACCCAATGAAATGTTTTATACACACACACACACACACACACACATGTTTGTACAGAACCGTTCAGGTGTGGACAGACCATTTCAACAGCAGTTGTTGGCCTCTGCTTTCCCCATCCCATGTCTGTTTCTGAATTTTAAGTTTTTAACCCGTTCCATCCTTCATAAATGGGTCCAAACCAAAGGCACATGTTAATGCTAAATGATTAAAGCTTTACACAGCTGCGTACATTTGTTTTCTCTTTTGTAGATGCTATTGTGGGCATTTTCCTGGATGCCTTAAAATTCTTTCTTCTAATACCCTGATTCTTGGTACAGGAGATTCATCTTTTGAGTCAGTTTGAACATGACAACATAGTTCAATATCTTGGCACAGACAAGGTATGCTACTTCCTTTCTTGGTTTTCATTTCTATTTAGATCTTTATGTAGTTGGAAGCATAACTTTTTACTCATTATGCTTTTTCTTGACTCTTTTATGTCCTTTTGGGAATGAGGACGAGTTTTCATTTAACTTTTTTTTTTATACTGTAGTTAGTACATAGGCATTTATATGTGCATGTGTGTACATATATTTGTAGAACCATAAAACAAACAATTAAAGAAATGCTAGACCAATGCGACTACCCAAGCTGCAATCATGTGACAAAACAGCTTTTAGACTAGCTCGCTGTATTTCAAGGTTAATTTAACATTCATTTATTGGACTCTATTGTTTTGTACACTAATTGGTCAAATTAATATTATTTCAGGATGAAACTAAGCTCTATATCTTCCTTGAGCTTGTAACAAAAGGCTCACTTGCAAATCTCTATGAAAAGTATCTGTTGAGGGATTCTCAAGTTTCTGTGTTCACAAGGCAGATTTTGAGTGGGCTGACATATCTTCATGATCGTAATGTGATTCACAGAGATATCAAATGTGCTAATATATTGGTGGATGCAAGTGGATCTGTGAAACTTGCAGACTTTGGGTTAGCCAAGGTCAAATCTCTAATGCTCTCTCTCTCTCTCTCTCTCTCTCTCTCTCTCTCTCTCACACACACACACACACACACATAGAATTTATATTTTATTTTAATAAAAAAATTCATAGAATTTCTAATGCTAAACCATTCTACTCTGGCCTTTTGTTTTCCTAGGCAACCAAATTGAATGACGTGAAATCCTGCAAAGGGACTGCTTATTGGATGGCTCCGGAGGTTTGCCTCCTCTCTTTACAGTAAATATCTTATAGAAACAGATACATTTCTCACTACAGCTGAATAAAATGTTGATAAATCTGACCATCGCTACGTGTCCTGCCAAATACATTAAGTAGAGAAACAAATATGTTTTGCCCTTTGTGCAGACTGTTTTCTCCTCATTTGCTACTTCTTATATTTATAATATGTATGTATGTAATCTTTTTCAACTTTTTTATCCTTAGTTTCTTGGACCAATTTTTTACGTTTTTGATGATTCTATAATCTCTTTACTACATTTTTTAAAAAAAATATATAAAAGAGAAGTTTTATTTCATAAAAAACCATACAAGGTGGACAAGTAATCCACCAATAACAGGAAGAAATAGTAAAACGAGTACAATCTCTCTACTACTTGGTGCTTTTTGTTTCGTCGGATGTGTTAGATTTCGTAAAAAAAAAAAAAAAAAACAAGTAAAAAAGAAAATTTCGGTTAAACTATCTTTTGGTAGGACAAATTTGTCTTTTACATTATTTTATGATTAGGCTCTTTTGAATTAAAATTAGTATTTATCTGTAATTGTTGCATTACTCTTTTACCTTAATCCACATCATTTCCCTGGTAAAAGAAACTTAATTCACATCTTTTTTTTTGGTTCTCTGATAAAGTTAATTTTCAGTTGCAATCCTATAATTGGGCATAGGTTAGTCCAAGCATGCTTGCCTGTATCATTGGTTTTGGGTTAACCCGTTAACCAGTAAGCTGTAAATTGTAGGTTGTTAATCAAAAGAATCGTGGCTATGGGCTTGCAGCTGACATATGGAGCCTTGGATGTGCTGTGTTAGAGATGTTAACCCGTCGGCCTCCATACTCTCACCTGGAAGGCGTATGTTCAACACTTCTGTATATAAAATGCTAAGCTTCTACCTTTTCTTAGGATAAGAAACACATACTCGTATTAAATAGAAAGAAAGAAAAGTTAGAAGAAAGATGAACATTTTGACAAAGTTCCCACATCCCCCACCTTATTTTCAGACATGGAATCCAACCCTGCATACCACCCATCGCCCACCATGTGATTTTGTGCAGATCATCTTCACTTGCACTCAACCTCAGCACTGGACCTAACAACATTTTTCACTCTTCCATGCAACTAGATTACCATCAATGAAATCCTACCTCTGAAAGCTGCTACTTTCACCAACTACTATAATCAGATCACAAAGAAGGCCCAATTTCCTTTTTTTTTCCCCATGCCTAGAAAATTCCTTAATCGTGACCCCATTTTCACCCCTTCTAAAACCTGAATCCAGAGGTTTCTTCTCAGCAATCAGTTAGTCTTTAGAAAACCTCATAAAATTGATGACATAATGTTCTAATGCTAGTTGTGGGAAAGAGGAAGTGAAGGGAAGAGAGAAGAGAGGAAAAGTTGCAATGGGAAAATTAGGGTTAATATTCTTAATCAATTTGAAACATTAGAGAAGTCCAAGACATATGTTGAAATTATAAAATAACAACCAAAAATGTCGTACTGATTTGTTAAAATGGTATATTCTAGAAGAAAAAACAGAGTCAGTCATATGAAAGACATGATAGATCCCTAGATTATCCCTTGTGGAGTTGTTTTTGAAATCTGAGAAAAATCATATTCTTGTCTGTTGATTGGCAGATGCAAGCATTATTTCAGATTGGCAGGGGTGAACCTCCTCCAGTTCCTGATTCGCTATCAACGGATGCACGAGATTTCATTTTCAAATGTTTACAAGTTAACCCTTATAATCGACCTACTGCAGCTCAGCTATTGAACCATCCTTTTGTTAAAAGGTCGCCCCAAACTTCCTCTGGCCCTGCTTCTCCTCATGCAACAGCTTACGTTCGTGAACACTTTCGCCAACCTTCAGTGCTATGATAAGGTAATATAGAAACTAATCTGGCAAGTTTACTACCCTTCTTACATGCTGACAGTGGTATCCATACATGTCAAGCCATATTAGAACATTAGATTCCACAAAAGTATTTTCGGGAGGAGGGGATATGCTTCCTATATGCTCACGAAGATGTGAGAATGGTCATTGATTTACGAATCAAAGGAAAGCATCTCCCGGTCCTGTTGTGTATCTCTGCATTGTAGCGACTTGCTTGGCCAGGAAAAATAAAAAAATAAAAAAATCCTCATCTAAGGATCCAATGCCCACATTAGTATTGACTGAACTGGTTGGTCCACATCTACTGCTGTTGATTTTCTTCTTATGCCAGCTTCTGTGATAATGAGACGGTTACTGAATAACATAATGCTTTAATTAGATGACAATGTTGGGCAAACGAAACTGATCCTGAATGTTTGAACGGGATTTATGCGGGGCAGTGAATGTTGCAGGCATATCAATGTTACTTGCAGAATATATGGCCTGTGAATTTGTGAAAAATCAAAGTTGTGCTACAAGATTGTTACCTTGTTTGTGGAGGCGTTGAACGGCATCAAAACGAAACATGGTCAAGCATATTTTCTTGTACATTATTGACTTGCTGTAAATTGATTTTTTTTTTATTTTACCAAGCAATAAAATTGTAGGACCCGTGTTAAGGAAAAGCATTTGGGAAAAAAAAATCAGAAAGGAAATAGAGGTGTATAATGAGTAGGACCGTGGGTGGTGAAGTTCATTCCTTAACCCTGGGAAGAAAGGCCTAGCCGAAGGATATGCTTTTATGTCAGAGGAGGTTATCAAAGATGAGCATTTACAATTACAGCCAGGAGGGCCATAACCTGCTTCAATAGGTCACTGAAAGGTGATATAGAATTTCCCTGTTAAAGGAGTTGGTAGAGAATGAGCAAGTCAAGCAATATTTGCACGGAGCTTCAATGTTGAGGGATTATGATGAGTGTGTTATGTCCAACAGTACAATAATAACTCTCTACTTGATTGGACGGCTATTAAAGACCCTTCATTATAAACCTCAATATTATCCCTCATTGTAGCCTCCGGGATATTTGCATTTTTGGGCCCAATGGCTTAATCCCATGATTTGATTCTGGCCCATTTTAAAAAGGTAAATAGTACGAAACTGTTAAGGGATGTTATTATTTGAAGTGTTACTGTATATACATGTTATAATATAAGTGAACTGGTTATATCACGTGATGATACACAATATAAAAATTACTTAATTGTATACATCTTTTCTCATATAACACATAACTAAATTATTTTGAAGAATGAACATAACTATCGGACATTTTTTTTAATCAAGAAGGAAGGGAATAATTGAAAGTTCGTACGAGCCTCTCAATCATTAACTATTGAATACGTATTGTTGCTCCACATTTATTAAAACCTAGCTAATTCTCATTTTGGTGAGAAATATGTATATGTATGTCAAACATGCATGTTGCTTTTGTGTTTCCTCTCAATATATACGTCACATTTGGAATAAACATCCAGGGAAGCTCCATGTATTGGATGGTGTGGATTGGAATTCTCAAAACTACTCATAACATATTTTGTTAGAGTACAACATATAAGTGAAACCCACTTGAATTTGTTCATAACATTAATCCAGTCATGAAATTGTACAATCGGGATAAAGCTAATTCATAATAAGGGAGCGCGCACACACACACTCTCTCTCTCTCTCTCTCTCTTCAATAAAATATTTCATACAACTGCATTATTTGTATCTATATCAACTTTTCAATAGAAATCTAATGCATTATTTTTTCATTTAGAAAACTAGTAGTAGATTAGGTGGTTACAATAAATTTGTAATCTTTTTACACAAGGTATGTCTTCATTTTGAGTTATTTACACTAACATCTCCTGAGATTTTCAGTTTTTTCACAAAACTCCTTGAGGTTTTAGAAATTACAAGAACACCCATTGACGTTTTAAATTGTTTTCACAAAACTCCTTTTCATTGATTTTTCATCAAAAGATTGATGATTTTATACAAAAAAAATTCTCCAAATGACAAAGTTGGCCTTTAAGATTAAATTGCATATACTTCATTGAGGTTAATTTTATCATTTGTATAAGTTGTTTTTTTAATAATTAAAATCATCAATTTTTGTATAAACAATCAACGAAAAGAGATTTTGAGAAAACATACTGAAACAAGACTTCTGTTTTTCTTCTTCTTTTTTTGTCTTTTTCTTTTTTAATTGGACATTGTCCTCGTCTCTTCCCACTCTTTTCATACCTCTTTCCCCTAAGCTTCTTTGAATTTTCCTGACCTTCAATCTTAGCCGTCCAGCAGATCGCGTAGCCAACAGCCACAGAAAGTGGAGAAAGTGACCCCTGGTTTTGGTTAACCTCTGTCTACACACATATTCATCTGCTGGTCAAGGCCAAACCACTCCCCAGAAAAAAATAATTAATTGTGAAATAACTTCTTCTGCTCAAGTCGGATCGGAAGGCCAACTTGTGCATAATTTGTAGTTGGTCTGATCTGAACCAGTATCAATTAATGGATGCCAGGAAAGCCCATAAAGCCTCCTCCTCTTCATCCTCAACATCCTCCTCATCAAAACGTTGGGAGTACCAAGTGTTCTTGAGCTTCAGAGGTGAAGACACACGCAAGGGCTTCACAGGCCACCTCCACGCCGCATTATGTAATGCCGGAATCCGCTCCTTTCTTGACGACAACGAGCTAGAAAGAGCGGAATTTATAAAAACCCAACTGGAGCAGGCAATCGACAAATCCATGATCTCCATAATTGTCTTCTCCCAGCGTTATGCCGATTCCAGTTGGTGTCTTGACGAGCTGGTGAAGATCATGGAGTGTAGAGAACGATTGGGGCAACAGGTAATTCCATTGTTCTATAATGTTGAGGCTTCAGATGTCCGGAAACAGACTGGTAGTTTTGCAGAAGCTTTTGAGAAACATGAAGCGGGCAAACATGAGAAAGAAAAGGTACAGCGATGGAGGAATGCTCTCAGTCAAGCAGCAGATTTGTGTGGGGAAGATCTTAAAAATGCTGACAATGGGTAAGTACTAATTTCTTGTTACTTGGTTTATCATCTCCTTAAAATGTTCTGTCCTTTTTGTTTTTGTTTTTGTTTTTGCTTTTCCAACTATGTTTTAACTATGCATTCTTTCTTTTTGACTTTCAACTTTGGTGTTTGTTTGTTTGGTTTGGTTTTAACTATCCATTCTTTCTTCTTCTTTAAGATCCATTTAACATTTGATGTTAGAAAATAATTTGCTCCTTCTAAATTATTAAGTTAGGGACTCAATTTTAACCTTGTTCTGCTTCTTTGTTTAATTGCCAGGCATGAAGCAAAGTATATCAACGAAATTCTTGGGGTGGTTAATAAGCAGTTGTACAGCAAATACCAATTAGACAACGAACACCTTGTCGGAATTACTTCTCGGCTGAACGATGTTGTTCGCATGATTGATATTGAAAATTCAGGTTCCAAGGATGTTGTTCGCATGATTGGTATTTTGGGGATGGGCGGCATTGGAAAAACAACGCTTGCCAAAACCATTTATAACAAATTTGAACGAATCTTTGAAGGTAGGAGTTTCCTTGCAAACGTGAGGGAACCCATTAATGGTCTGGTTGGTTTGCAAGAGCAACTTCTAAATGATATCTTGAAAAGCAAGGACTCCATAAAGGTTGGCTCTGTTGCTAAAGGGATCGATATGATAAGAGAAAGACTTTGCTGTAAAAGAGCACTTGTCATAATTGACGATGCAGATGATCTACAGCAACTAAAAGCAATAGCTAGAACTCGTGATTGGTTTGGTCCTGGAAGTAGAATTGTTATAACAACAAGAAATCAACATTTGCTAGAGCAAGTTGGAGTGGATGGCATATATATGGCTCAAGAAATGGATGAAAAAGAAGCTCTAGAGCTCTTGAGTAGGCATGCCTTCGAAAGTGGTTATCCTAATCAAGAATATCTTGACCTCTCAAAACGTGTAATTCGTTACTGTCGAGGCTTGCCACTAGCACTTGAAGTTGTAGGGTCTTTTCTGATTACAAGATCCGTAGAGGACTGGGAAAGCCATTTGGAGAAGTTGGAAAGAAGTCCTCCTGAAAAAATTCAAAAAATACTCAAAATAAGCTTTGATGGGCTACCTGATCAGGAAATGAGAGAGACATTCCTTGATATATCTTGTTTCTTTATAGGAATGGACAGGGACTATGTAACACAAATATTAAAGGGATGTGGCTTTGCTCAACCGATAGGAATCAATGTCCTCATTGAACGGTGCCTTCTAACTGTTAGTGAGCGAAACAAGCTGATGATGCATGATTTGCTTCAAGACATGGGAAGAGAGATCGTTTATGAAAATGCCCAGGGTGACCGTGAAAAATTTAGTAGATTGTGCAAACGTGAAGACGTAACAAATGTATTGAGTGATGAATCTGTAAGTACTTTCCAAGTAAAGTTTTAGAATGCATCATGCAAGAGAATCATATGTGTTCCGTGTCTAATAAATTAAAATGTCCTTTTCTAATATATTTTTTTTAGTACAAGCGATAGTCTATACCAAAGTAAAAGAGGGTTCCTCACAAATCCACATTACCACGGTGCCATATGAATTTGAACATGAGACCCCGTTGCCATTTCTTATATTATATCCACTAAGATCAAAGCTCAATTTGGCATAACCAACAAAAAAATGCATGCTTTGATTGCAAACACAAACTATAGGGCGTAACATGGTCCAATACTATTAATTATACCTTTTGGTTAATACATACACGGATTTCCATGTCTGTAAATCATTTTTCTAACTCGGTATCTTTTGTTAACAGGGAACTAAAAAAATTGAAGGAGTTGCTCTACATTTGGATTTGGATTTGGATCTATATTGGGATCCAGAATCGGATCTAGATTTGACTAGATTCAGTGCACAAGCATTTACCAAGATGAAAAAACTGAGGTTACTCCACCTCAGCGGAGTAGAGCTCACTGGAGAGTACAAAGATTTTCCCAAAAAGTTAATATGGTTGTGCTGGCATTATTTTCCTTTAGAGTCCATACCAGATGACTTTCCCACGCAACCAAAACTAGTTGCTTTAGACCTGCGGTGGAGCAAACTCAAAATAGTTTGGAAGGATTGCAAGGTATATATAATAATCTCAACCAAAACTAGTTGTTGTTGGTTCTTTCCTTCTGGTTCTATATATATATTATAGTTCACCTTCTCTTCATTTTGATTTAATTTCTGTATCAGAGACCTTCCTTTTGGATTTTAATTTCCATTCTAATTTTGTTTTTGTGTAACAGTTGCATGAGAACTTGAAAATCCTTAATCTCAGCCATTCCGAAGAGCTAACAAAATCACCAGACTTTTCAAAACTCCCAAATCTCGAGCAATTGATATTGCAATTTTGTACTAGATTGTCTGAGGTTCACTCATCCATCGGGGATCTTGGAAGACTTTCTTTGGTAAATCTTAAAGACTGCATAATGCTAAAGGATCTCCCACTGAATTTCTATAAATCTAAGTCTATTGAAACTCTTCTACTTAATAAATGTTGGAGTTTTGAAAAGTTGGCTGAGGGCTTAGGGGACATGGTATCATTGACAACTCTGAAAGCGGATGAGACAGCCATCAGACAAATTCCATCTTCCATATTAAAATTGAAGAAACTGAAAGTTTTATCTTTATGCGATGTGAAAGGGTTGCCATCAACAAATCTTTTGCCTCCTTCATTGCAAAGTTTAAGTTCTTTAAGAGAATTAGCTCTTGCAGACTGCAGTTTAACTGATGATGCATTCCCCAAGGATCTCGGTAGCCTAATTTCCTTAGAAAGGTTAGATCTTGCACGCAATGGCTTTTGCAGCCTACCAAGCCTCAGTCGTCTTTCACAGCTTCAAGATTTGTCTTTAGATCAGTGCAAAAAGCTTCGTGCAATCCCAGATTTACCAACAAATTTGAAAGTCTTACGAGCAGGTGGCTGCATTGCATTGGAAAAAATGCCAGATTTTTCAGAAATGTCAAATATAAGAGAATTGTATCTAAGTGATTCGGGCAAACTCACTGAAATTCCAGGCCTGGATAAGTCATTAAACTCCATGACAAGGATTCATATGGAAAAGTGCACTAAACTCACTGCCGATTTTAGGAAGAACATCCTCCAGGTCAGTCCTTCTCTATCTCTCTCTCATACATCTTTCTCTTTCTATCTGTTAGTTTAAGAGAAAAGAGGTTTAGAGAATGGTTGGTAGTGTTTAAGACAATAGCTTAATTTGGAATGGAAAACTTTTCAAAGACGAACAAGGTAGTTTTTATTCTATTGATTGAGGTAGGAAAGGTTCAAGGCTTTAATACTTGAATTTGATGATTGCATTAATTGGACAGCTGCAGTTTTCCAGCTTACATTTTTGTATAGGCATCAAGCCTATATATAGGAGACTTAACCGACAGTAGCTTAGTCGGTGAGATTAGCTCTTTGAATATTTTATATTATAGCACACTTTGATCTCTCAGATTTTTTGTATTCACCGACTTTGTTAAGTCGGTTTGCACATTCATTAAAATTCTAGACTTTTCTATATCATTCAAGACTTTTGTATACTATTTAAGGTACAATTGTGCATTACTTTTTAATATTTTCTCATACAACGCACATGTACACATGCATGCATAAGAATGTATTTCTTATAGAAATTTGGCTCTACATGGTATAGGGATGGACTTCTTGCGGATATGGTGGCATTTTTCTCAGTAAAAATGTTGGTTCGACTATGTCCATAACAATGATATTGGAAATGTTATTCCTGATTGGTTCGACTATGTCCATGACGATGATATTGTGTATTTCACTGTGCCTCAAAGTGATGGTCGTAATTTGAAAGGGTTAACTTTGTTCTTCGTTTGCTCTTCAGCCATATACGACGAATGTTGCATTAGCATTAAAAACATGACCAAGGGTACTGAGCTTGACGCCAGGATCATATCCAATTGTGAAACTGACGAGGATTGTCCAATTAAGCCCGTCATTTGGCAGGGACAGTTATCAAATGACGAGCTCAAATTGCAAGACGGTGACAAAGTCTTGATTGAAATAATAGTGGACAAATGGGTGAAGGTGAAGAAAACAGGTGTTAGTCTGGTATGGGACAAATTTATGAAAGAAAATATGATTGATTACCATCTTTGTGCGTATGAACGACGCTCATCTCAAAATCTGGTTAATGATGATGACATCATTCATGTCAAAGATGATCATGACATGACAGAATCCCCAGACTTTTCAAAATTCCCAAATCTCGAGAAGTTGATATTGAAAGGTTGTAAGGAGTTGATTAAGGTTCACTCATACATCGGGGATCTTGGAAGACTTTCTTTGGTAAATCTTGAAGGCAGCATAAGGCTAAAGGATCTCCCACTGAATTTCTATAAATCCAAGTCTATTGAAACTCTTATACTGAATGGTTGTTCAAGATTTGAAGACTTGGCTGATGGCTTAGGGGACATGGTATCATTGACAATTTTGAAAGCAGATAACACAGCCATCAGAAAAATTCCAAGTCTCTCTGGTCTTTCAAAGCTCAAGGTCTTGTGTTTAAATGCATGCAGAGAACTTCTTGCAATCCCAGATTTACCAACCAATTTGTATGTTCTGAAAGCAAATGGCTGCCCAAAATTGGAAACAATTTCAGATTTTTCAAAAATGTCGAATATGAGAGAATTGTATCTCAGTGATTCGGTCAAACTCACTGAGGTTCCAGGCTTGGATAAGTCATTATACTCCATGACAAGGATTCATATGGAAGGCTGCACCAATCTCACTGCCGATTTTAGGAACAACATCCTACAGGTCAATCCTTCTCTATCTCTCTCTCATACATCTTTCTCTTTCTATCTGTTAGTTTAAGAGAGAAGAGGTTTAGAGAATGGTCGGTAGTGTTTAAGACAATAGTTTAATTTGGAACGGAAAACTTTTGACAGAGAAACAAGGTAGTTTTTATTCTAATGATTGAGGTAGGAAAGGTTCAAGGCTTTAATACTTGAGTTTGATGATTGCATTAATTGGACAGCTGTAGTTTTCCAGCTTACATTTTTGTATAGGCATCAAGCCTATATATAGGAGACTTAACCGACAGTAGCTTAGTCGGTGAGATTAGCTCTTTGAATATTTTATATTATAGCACACTTTGATCTCTCAGATTTTTTGTATTCACCGACTTTGTTAAGTCGGTTTGCACATTCATTAAAATTCTAGACTTTTCTATATCATTCAAGACTTTTGTATACTATTTAAGGTACAGGTGTGTATTACTTTTTAATATTGTCTCATACAACGCATATGTACACATGCATGCATAAGAATGTATTTCTTATAGAAATTTGGCTCTACATGGTATAGGGATGGACTTCTTGCGGATATGGTGGCATTTTTCTCCGTGGAAATGATATTCCTGATTGGTTCGACTATGTCCATGACGATGATATTGTGTATTTCACTGTGCCTCAAAGTGATGGTCGTAATTTGAAAGGGTTAACTTTGTCCGTCGTTTGCTCTTCAGCCATATACGACGGATGTTGCATTAGCATTAAAAACATGACCAAGGGTACTGAGCTTGACGCCTGGATCATACACAATTGTGAAATTAAGTATTGTCCAATTGAGCTCGTAATTTGGCAGGGACAGTTATCAAATGACGAGCTCAAATTGCAAGAAGGTGATAAAGTCTTGATTGAAATAGCGGATGAAGATGATTCGGTGAAGGTGAAGAAAACAGGTGTTAATCTGGTATGGGACAAATTTATGAACGAAAATATGATTGATTACCATCTTTGTGCGTATGAACGACGCCCATATCTGGTCAATGATGATGACATCATTCATGTCGAAGATGATAATCATATAACAAAATCACCAGACTTTTCAAAATTCCCAAATCTCAAGAAGTTGATATTGAAAGGTTGTCGGAGTTTGTGTAAGGTTCACTCATCCATCGGGGATCTTGGAAGACTTTCTTTGGTAAATCTTGAATACTGCATAATACTAAGGGATCTCCCACTGAATTTCTATAAATCCAAGTCTATTGAAACTCTTATATTGAATGGTTGTTGGAGTTTTGAAAAGTTGGCTGAGGGCTTGGGGGACATGGTATCATTGACAACTCTGAAAGCAGATAACACGCGCATCAGACAAATTCCATCTTCCATAGTAAAATTGAAGAAGTTGAGAATTTTATCTCTATGTGGTGAGAATTTTGAAATTCTATCTTTTACCCCTTTCGTTACATGGCTTAAACTCTTTAATAGAGTTATTATGTCTTGCAGGCTGCTGGCGGTTAACTGAGGATGCAATCCCTAAGGATCTATGTAGCCTAATTTCCTTAGAACATCTGCGTCTTGGAGGCAATTACTTTCGTAGCCTACCGAGACTCGCTGGTCTTTCAAATCTCAAGGTCTTGCGTGTAAATGCATGCAGAAAACTTCTTGCAATCCCAGATTTACCAACCAATTTGTATGTTCTGAAAGCAAATGACTGCCCAAAATTGGAAACAATTCCAGATTTTTCAAAAATGTCGAATATGAGAGAATTGTATCTAAGTGATTCGTTCAAACTCACTGAGGTTCCAGGCTTGGATAAGTCATTAAACTCCATGACAAGGATTCATATGGAAGGCTGCACCAATCTGACTGCCGATTTTAGGAACAGAATCCTACAGGTCTCTCTCTCTCTCTCTCTCTCTCTCTCTCTCTCACACACACACACACACAAACACAAAGGCACAGCTGCAGATGCGGCCCATATATATAATGATATATCCATGCATGTATAAGAATGTCTTGCTTATGGTGTGCAGAGATGGACTTCTTGCGGATTTGGTGGAATTTATTTGAATGGAATTTATGATATTCCTGAGTGGTTCAAAATTGTCAATGATGTGGACAATTTCGTCTTCTTTAAAGTTCCTCAAAGAATCATGGGTCGTGATTTAAAAGGGTTGACTATTTGCTTCGTTTACTCTTATGGTGATTATCCGGGATTTGAATATTCTAAAGGTCCTATTGGCATTATCGTTAGAAATCTTACCAAACAAACTGCTTTGAGCACCTGGATAGCATTTGACTCGGTAGAAACTTGCAGTAAACCTGAAGACGATTATCTTTGGCAGGGACAATTGTCAAACGATGTGCTCAGTTTGGAAGGCGGGGACCGAGTCTGCATTCTTGTAAGGCCTGATGATGTTGGTTTTGTGAGAGTGAAGAAGACAGGGGTTCATCTAGAATGGGACAAAGTCATGAAGGAAAATATGGATAATCCGGATCGTCATTTGTATGATTTGGAAACAAATCCGGATTTTTGAGGGGGAGTTGATGACTCGTTGGATCCTCATTTGTATGATTTGGGTTTAGGAAATCTACTTCAATGATTTGGTGATGACTCAAAAGAGAGAGCCACGCAGAGACCACCACCTGTCCCAAGGCCCCACATGTCACATTCTAGTGCACTCTTCACTTTTGTAGGTAGCAGACACGTGTCAACATAAGCAGCAACATGCTTCACACCTCCTTCACACAAAATAAAA